CTGGCGCACCTGACTGCATAAAGGAAATATTACAGCTAGAGAGAGACAGACCTCAATAGAATAATGGCTGGACTTCAACACTCCACTTTCAGCATTGAACAGATTTTTTAGACAGAGAATGAACAAAGAACTTAATCTGTTCTATAGAAAAAATGAACCTAATAGATATTTACAGAGCAGCTTATCCAATGGCAGCAGAATACACATTCTTGTTGGAGGCAAATGAATCATTGTCAAAGATAGACTGTATGTTAGACCACAAAACAAGTCTTAAAACATTCAAAAATATTAAAATAATATTAAAAATATTATCTGAACACTACTGAATAAAACTAGAAATGAATGGTGAGAAAATTTGAAAATTATATAAATACATGAGAATCCAACAATATGCTTCTGAATAACCAGTGGGTCAATGAATTAATTAAGAACATTGCCAATTTTCTTGAAACAAATGAAAATGGAAACACAACACACAAAAACCTATGGGATGCAGCAAGTAATACAAAAAGAAAAGTTTACAGCTATAAGTGTCTCTTTTAAAAAAAAACAAATAAAAAATCTAGAGACACATCTTAAATAAGTAAAAAATCAAAAAGCAAAGCAAACCCAAAATTAGTAGAAAAAAAGAAATGATAAAAATAAGAGTAGAAATAAATTGGAAATGATAGAAACAATACAAGAGATCAATGAAATATAAAGTTGGTTTTTGAAAACAGAAAATTGACAAATTTAGCCAGAGTAAGCAAGCAAAAAAGAGAAAAGACTGAAATAAACAAAATCTGATGAAAAAGGACATACTACAACTAATACCATGGAAATTCAGAGATCATTAGTGGCTTCTGTAAGCAATTACATGCCAAGAAATTGGAAAATCTAGATGAAATGAATGCATTCCTAGATACATACAACCTAGCAGAACCATAAAGATATCTAAAACCTGAACAGACCAATAACAAGTAACAAAATCAAAATGCTAATAAAAATGTCTCACAGCAAAGTAAGAGGAAAACCAGCAGATAATAGGATGGACTAACTTGCCTCCCACTCAGATGGACAGAGCCACATGTGGAGACTCATATCATGAAACTTTTGCTCCAAGACCTACTGCAGAAACATACCAAGAACACTGAGAGGGTCTACAGATCCTTTGAAGGAAGTGGATTGCTGCTGCAGGCTCCAGGAGACAACCAACAAGCTGAGTACCAAAAGCATAAATGTATGAAAAGGGGATCATCTGCCCCCCAAACACACATCCTCACTAGGGAACCTGAAAGTCTAGATAATAGGAGAATTTGACCTTACCTGGAGCTGAGACAAACTTAGAAAGCTAAGCAAAACACAGAGGTAGAGAAAGTATCAGGAAGAACCCTATGGGTACTCTCAGTCCCTAGGGAAGCCATTTCTGACTTTGTCTTACAGAGGTCCTTGGGAGAGATGCCAGTGGAATTGGGGTAAAACCTCAGGGATAAGAAAACTTCCAGTTAAACTTTGTTACAATTTTGACCCAGTGTGAAGTTTCCTGGACAGAACCTGAGGAGGGGGCAAACCAGGGGTGCAGACACAGGACAGAAATTGTGGCAGGTGGGGAGGTGTGAAATCTGAAAGCCCTGCTTGCTTTCTCAGCTGAATGGCCTATAGCCTGGGCAAAGATCTCAGCCCTCCTCAACTGCTCCCTGGAAATAAACTCAGCACTGTTGTGGGGGCAGAGTGGAAGTGAGACTGGCCTTTAGGGCTGTGTGGGAGCTGAGTGAGGCCTGTAACTGCTGACTTTTCTCCACTTCCCTGGAAACTGCATGATGCAGCAGAGACAGCTATAATTCCCTTGAAAACATAACTCTGTTGGCCTGAGAACCACATCCTCATCTCCCACAGTAGCTGAAGCAAGCTCTGCCTTAGGAAAACCTGAGCTCAGACAGGCCTAACCCTGATCTCACCTGATGGTTTTCTCCACCCATGCTGGTAGTGGAAGACAAAGAACATAATGTTTGGGAGCTCCATGGCCCTGCCCACCTGAGAAACTTATCCAAGCGACCTAGGGCAAGCCTGTATCCCTCCTACACTACTGCAGCTGATTCTCTTTTGAAAGCACAACCTAGAGTAAACAGACAACCCAAAGAGTCAGGGAAAATCTTTGTAATCTATACACCTGACAAAGAACTAATATCCAGAATCTACAAGGTACTCAAACAAATCCACAAGAAAAAATAAATCTCAACAAAAAATGGATTAAGGACATGAATAGACAATTCACATAAGAAGATGTGCAAATGACCATAAAACATATGAAAAAATGCTCAACACCACTAATGATCAGAAAAATGCAAATCAAAACCACAATGCAATACCACCTTACTCCTGCAAGAATGGCCATAATCAGAATACAGTGAATGTTGGGATAGATCTGGTGAAAAGGAAACACTTTTACACTGCTCATGTGAATGTAAGCTAGTACAACCACTATGAAAAACAGGGTGGAGATTCCGTAAAGGACTAAAAGTAGATCTACATTTTGATCCAGCAATCATACTACCGGGTGTCTGCTCAAAGGAATAGAAGTCATTATAAGAAAAAGATACTTGCACTTGTATGTTTATAGCAGCACAATTTGAAATTACAAAACTATGGAACCAGCCCAAATGTACATCAACCAACAAGTGGATAAAGAAAATGTAGTCTATATGTACATACCATGGAATACTACTCAGACACACACACACACACACACACACATGCATGCACACACACACAAAGTAGTGGCATTTGCAGAATGCTGGATGAATTTGAAGACCATTATTCTAAATGAAATAACTCAGAAATGGAAAACCAAACACCATATGTTTTCTCTTATAGTGGAAACTAAGCTATGAAGATGAAAATGCATAAAAATAGTACAATGGGCTTTGGGTAGTAAGGGGAAAGGGTCGGGGAGTATGAGGGATAAAAGACTACACACTGGGTTCAGAGTACACTACTTACGTAATGGGTGCAACAAAATCTCAGAAATCACCACTAAAGGAGTTATTCATGTAACCAAATGCCACCTGTTCCCCCAAAACCTATTAAAATAAAAAATTTAAAAATAAAGACAAGAAAAGAAAGAGGAAGAAATAGAATTGATGTTGAATTCTGTCTCATTCTTATAGTAAGTGATATTTATTTAAAAATACATAATGTAATTGGAACCAAAGCCTACTCATATCATTAAATACATTTGCCACAACATTTTATTTTAAAATTAATAAATATAATTATTTGGAATTTGTGAAAAGAAAAATCTCCCAGCAACAAAAAGCCTGGCTTCACTGCTGAATTCTACCAAATGTTTAAAGACAAACTAATATAAATCCTACTCAAACCATTCTGAAAATTAGAGGAGAAGGACATACTTCCAAACACATTCTACAAAACAAGTATTACCCTGATATCAAAACCAGACAAAGACATAAAAAACGGATAGGCCAATATTACTGATGAATATTGATAGAAAAATCCTAAACAAAACATTAGCAAACTTAATTCAACAATACATTGAAAAGATAATTTATCATGACCAAGTACCATTTATCTCAGGGATGCTAAGATGGTTAAAATTAGTCAGTGTGGTACCTCATATTGACAGTATGAAAGATAAAAACCATATGATCATTTATATATTATGGAAGGCGATGTGCTATAGGGAATTTTTTAAATGAATTACATGTAACTCCTGTCTTGGAGGAGCTGATACAATGTTGGGAACACAAACATACTTAAACCTCTCATTATAGTGGAAAGACAAACGAGTAAATACACTTCTAAATTACGTGTTTTGAAGGCAGTAAAGAGGAGAAGAAATTTACATATAAGAAAACTAAACTTTAGAGCTAGCTCACAAAATATTATCTCTCTAAGACTAAGTCTCCTCATCTGTACAATGGATAAAATAAGATAATGACAGTGAGGAATAAGGCACCCAGTAGAGTGTGGTCCCACATTGTTACAATGTGATAGGTATACTATAGGAATACTAAGATAAAGTGCTATAGGGCACAGTAGAAAATGTGATTAATTTTGTCTGAGAAAGTTTAATAAACAGATTATATTAGATCTGAACCATGAAGGTTCAGATGTATATAAAATCACCAGACATTAAAAGGGAGGAAAAGCAGCACATAAATAATGCTGTAAAAGCATTTGTCAGACTTAGGAATACAGATATCACGAGAAAGGTGGAGGCTGTGGGAAGGTGAAGGCACTGGAAAGGTGTGCTGAACCAGGAGGTGAAGTGTCTGTTATGACATGGTTGGGCTTTCTTGTGTGTTGAAAATAGAAATTCACCTTATGATCAAAAGCAAATTCTGTATTTTAGAAATGTAACCTTACTAACTTGGTACTAGGTAGACTGAAGGAAAAAAAGGATACAATCAGATATATCAGTTAAGGATGTATTACAATTGCTTGGTCAAGAGGTATTTAATGCATAGGGCAAGTCAATACTAGTAAATCATAAGGAAAAAAGAGATCAGTAGGTATTTAGAAATTAAATATAAGTAAAAAATGTTGGGCTGGGCGCGGTGGCTCAAGCCTGTAATCCCAGCACTTTGGGAGGCCGCGACGGGTGGATCACGAGGTCAACAGATCGAGACCATTCTGGTCAACATGGTGAAACCCTGTCTCTATTAAAAATACAAAAAAATTAGCTAGGCACGGTGGCACGTGCCTGTAATCCCAGCTACTCAGGAGGCTGAGGCAGGAGAATTGCCTGAACCCAGGAGGCGGAGATCGCGCCATTGCACCTCAGCCTGGGTAACAAGAGCGGAAACTCCATCTCAAAAAAAAAAAAAAAATGCTTTCTAGGTATAAGGTGAAAAGAGTTTAGCTATTTTGTTTTGAGATGCTTTTGAAACATCCAGATGGAGATATCTTATTTGTAGTTTGAGATAAGTGGAAATACGACCTTGTGACTGCTTAGCTGTTCGGGGAGAACTGAAAAATTGAAAAATAAACCATGACCTGTACAATGCACCCTGACTTTGAAATAAATTAACCAAATCAAACCAAAACATAATAGTTTTCACAAAATATCTAAACTGCTTTTTAAAAAATACCAATTCATTCAGAGCCAGATGGTCCAAAATATTCACAGACAAATTAGTCTAAAATGTACTCTGTACAAATGCATATATTCTGACAGACTGATTATAAAAATGGGCAGTGGTCAAGTCATGATGACAATAGCATGTTAACTCATAACTTCTGCAGCAATCAGGCCAAAATGGTCACTGACTGCATAATTTTTGTCAGTACCTCCAAGCAGAGAAAGACAAATATGTTCCCTAAACCAATCACAGAGAATGCCTCACTTCCAGTACTCCGCCTCTAGCTTTCCTCTACAAGCAATCTCCAATCACAGAACATCCTAAGCCTCCCCCTTCCTTTTTAAAAGTGTAAAAAATGTCTTCCCATTTTCCTGCCTGTCTCTGAGTCTCCACACAACTCAAGTGATGGTGACCGACTCCCTTGTTATAAGCAGTTCTGAAAAAACAATCTTTATTGTTCTCATTTGAGTTGTCTTTGTTTATGACCATAGGGTTAAAGGAAGAACACTGACTTCTGCAGTTGGAAATTCTAAATCATACATTTCAGTAGTCTCCTATAACTCTCTAGCACAAAAACAAAGTATCCTTTCCTAACTTTCCTCCTAGTAAGAGTCCCCACAAGTTCATTTTGAAGTTTTGCTTGTTAAAGCAATGAGTCTAACTTCGTTGACAATGCCTGTGTTCCTGACGTAGTATTTGATTGATGGGAGTCAACAGTTGAATTAGTCCTATGGAAGAAAATAGAGATATTGGGTGAAAAGATAAATGGTATAAAGAAGTCAAATATAGAGATTATTTTAGAAAGTTTAGTTACCATTTCCTGAGTGTTTAGTATGTGTCAGGTAGTATAAAATATCCTTTCTATATATTATCTCATTTAATCACTAAAACCACCCAATGACTGTGGCTCACTACTATCATTTTATATATAAGGGAAATGAGAATCCAAAAAGTTTAAGGTACCTAGAAGTTATGCACAAATAGTAATACAAGTAGCTTCTGTGCAGGGATTATCTGACTTCATAGAATTTAGCGAAAAGACCAAAATTCTTCAGAAAGTCAAAATAGAATACAATCTGAAGAAAGAACACCTTCTACTCAGCTGTAAGTCATCAGTAAATTTGGTGAGAGTAATTTCAGAAGTACAGTGGGGGCTGAGACCAGACTGCTCTCGAGGACCCAAGGGAAATGAGAAAGTGAAAGTTAGATATACTAACTAATATCTCACCATATCTGGTCAGGCAGAAAAAGAAAATGGTATCTTGATAAGAGACATGACTATAGTCAGTAATTGCTGGGTAAGAGGTAACTGAAGATGATTATAAGTAGAAAAAAATGGAACCAGTCAAAATGGAGTAACTGAAGATACTGAAAAACGAAAGTATTATATTATTAGAGAGATTGTTGAAAAAGCCTGTGGAGCAAGGAGGAATGAACAATTAATAAGAGGGTTTTATATTTATTCTTGTTAAATAGGAACAAAGCTGTTTTTTAAGTGGAAATTTGATTTTTGGAAATATCAAAATACTGGTAATCAATTTTGATCAATATGTTTGATGATTTTTATGAATATTATCATTTGAAGTTCAAATCAGATATGATAATAATATGATCTATGTTATGTTAAGTGATTTTTAATCTTCAGAAATCACAGATATTTTTAGTATTTTTACTATTATAGGAGCACTATATATGATTTCCTAGCAAGTGAACAATTAATGTTGATACATAAATTCAAATATATCCACATGCATATATTTAGCACAAGCCTTCAGGAATATTCAGGTCATAAGATGCTAAGTAATATATAATTGTATTTATGAATATAAATATATATTGTATATGTAAAATATGTCTTAATTATTTATATTGACCATGTGTGTATCTCCCAAGACAAAGAATCTTGCATTTTATTTATCTTTGTGTAAAGTTGTAACCATTGCAAATCCATACCTTGAGGCTTGAAGTCTTGATATTTAACTTATTTGTATTTTTTAAAATATGCAAATACAAATTCTAACATTATTAATATTATTTCAACATACAGATCTATACTACATAAAGGCTGATAGGGTATGACAAACTGAGATCCAAATGTTTTCTGTAAGAGCTAGGTGATTATTTTCTTTTTGAAATAGAAATATCAGCATAATGACACCTGCTTCAAGTTTTCTTGGTTAGGAGAGAATTTGAGTTTCAATCCCGTGCTTATCAAATAGCAGCATTTATAGGATGTCTAGAATGTGTAAAATTTTAGCAATAATAATTAGAATCTGAAAGAGAAAGTCACTTTTATAAAACAAAATAATGAAGAAACGTTTTCCTTTTTTATGGCCCAGACCTGATTCTGTTTATACATTCATTGTGAGTATTTATTGTTGTTGAACTAAAAAAGCTTACCGGTGATTGAGTTTTTCCTCTCATCTTATTTATTGTAAGGAAAACTTAAAATGACTACTAGGCTGCCAAAAAGTCTTTATTGTTAACTATAATTTGTTAGCATAATAAACTATGAATATTGCAAGCTTCAATTTCCAAAATAAGCATAAAAGATGACTGAATACCAAAAGGCAACTAATAGAAAGATACACTGCACTGATAATTGGAGAAAACACTCTGAAATGTATTCACTTCAGAATGAAAATAAAATCTTACAAAGGTAGACTGCTTCAGTTTCAAAGGAAATGATTTCAATGGAGCACTTCATATCGTAAAATAACCTTGGGATGTACTCCTTATGTCATTCTTAAGTGTCTGATTCATGCTGTAGTCAAAATAACAACTATTGACAGATACTGCCATAGGCCATTTACCCTGCTAAAGAGTTTGATCTCTTTCAGGAGTTTTACATATCATTCTTATTAGCACTTATTTTTAAAATCAATCTCTTTGTGCCTATTAGTCAGAAGTGTGATGTGGTGAAGAAGAACGCAGCCAATAACACTTGTTTTGTGTTTTAGCATGCTAAAACCACAAACAAAATAAATCCACTATATAAACGTTTTTGCCAAGATAAGAAAGCATCCCAATTGTTACAAAATTTATTTTGTTTTTACAAAATCTATTCTTTACTTGTTGACTCTCATTTTTCAAATGCTATCATGTTATTTTCAAGTAATTTTAGATTTGTAGATGATGATGATGATGATTTGAGATTTAGCATCATACTTTGAGGAGGAATAAAAACCACATTTGCTTTGGTGACATCTCCCATATGTGAGCTCTGAAAATTCTTGGGGTGCTACGACATTTTTTTTTTTTGAGACACAGTCTCACTTTGTCACCAGGCACCAGGCTGCAGTGCAGTGGCTAAATATGAGGATCCCAGTGTGCCACCATTCTCTCCACTTCCCATCATTTGGTGGTAATGTATCATGTTAGTAGCAATTAATGCATCCAGGGATAATTATCCCTGAACTCCACACTTTTCTATGATGACAGAAAACATTTTTTGTTTTAATGCATATTATATCTCTAGTAAATACTGCATCATGCTTACTAGAAGCAAATATCCCTAAATGATGCAAATCACAAAGTTAGTGAGTTTCTTAAATTATATATCTCCACATAGTTGATTTTATTAAATTTTTCATTTATGAAGAGAAAATTTACCACAAAAAATGCATATATAAAGACTTTAGGGAAGTACATCAAGATGTATTTATAATTTTTGAAATAACCAATGTAATAATAAACTATTTTTATAAATCAGAACAGAAAAATTTGGCTAATTTTCTCAAACTCACACAGCTAACAGGTAAAAGACAGGATTTGCTGGGCACAGTGGCTCACAGCTGTAATCCTACCACTTTGGGAGGCCGAAGTGGGTGGATTGCCTGACCTCAGGGTTTGAGACCAGCCCGGGCAACATGATAAAAACCAGTCTCTACTAAAATACAAAAAATTAGCCGGGCATAGAGGCTTGCATCTGTAGTCCTACCTACTTGGGAGGCTGAGGCAGGAGAATTGCTAGATCTTGAGAGCCGAGATCATTCCACTGCACTCCAGCCTGAGCGACAGAGTGAGACTCCATCTCTAAAAAGAAAAAAAAGACAGGATTTAAGACCAGGAAATATGTAGGAAATTCTTAAATTGATCTTATCCCCTTTCCCAAATCTTTCAGGTCACAGAAATGAAAATGTGAGTTAATATAATAGCATTATTATTTTAACCATTTTATAGTTCAAATATGATTTTGTGTGCCCAATATCCCCCAATCAAGCTACTGTTTCATTAGAAAATGTGTCTTGAATTCTGAACAATCAATATGCAAACACTTATTGGTCACAATTCGTAGATATGGCATGCTATATGCTCTGATTAAAAGATAGACCCAATATAACTGTTCAATATGGGAAATCAAATAACCCTGAAAATTACATCATTTAAGAGTGAGTCATCAGCAGGCATGTTTCACAGGGAATGGATTTTAAGGCTTTCAGCTATAACTTGTTTTACGGCAAGTTGTTAATACTGTAAGCACATCAGAGACAATATGATGTTGTTATGAATAAAATCTTGGCAGAATCTTAGCATTCAAATTTCCTGTACTGAAACCAGTAAGGAAGATATTTTACTTTAAAGTGTGCTAAAGAAAAAGGAGACAGTAAAACTACTTAAGCAGGGAGTAAAAGGAAGTTGAAATAGAAGAATACAGATAATGCTTGCTGATATAGAGCAGGTATATGCTATTCCAATTTCAAACAATACTCTTTAACTACAATTTATCGTTTCACCCGAGATGAATGAAATTTCCCCTTTTACATATATTTAGTTTGGCTATAGAACTGTCTCTGGAGTTACTTAAATCTCACACAAAAAATCACACATTAAGTCTGATGCAAATAATTATGTTTTTAAACATATAATATTTGATGTTTTCTGAGAATAAATGTGCCAAATGTAAATTATTTCAAGTTAAACTATTTCAACTTTCATTTGGGTAAGTTTCTCTAAATGTTTCTGTATGTATATCTGGTAATTTCTGAAAACAAAATAAAAAGTAAACATGATTTACTCTGAGTTAATAATACAATATAAATTATAGTTCAGATTATATAAAACTATTGATTATCAATGTGACTAACACTTGAAAATAATCTCTTTCATTTATAGATACCCACAGACTACACTCTCATAGCTTCATACTCTAAACTCTTGACATATTATGATATTTATTTTAATAAATTAATAATCAATTGTATTTACTATGTGTATTTAAGGTATCCAACCAGATGTTATGGGATACATATGTATAGTAAAATGGTTACTATAGTAAGCAAATTTACAAATTCATCATCTCACAAGCTACCCATGTCCCCTGTGGCAAGAGCAGCTGTAATCAACTCATTTAGCAAAAATCCTCAATATAATACACTGTTATGTTTTACATACAGTCCTTATGTTTTGGATTACATCTCCTGGATATAATACCCAAAAGGAATAAAGTCACTACTTCATAAATACAACTCTATGCCAATGGTTGTTGCAGCGTTATTAGCCAAGATACAGAATCAACCCAGATGTCCATCAATGGAAAAATGAATAAAGAAACTTATGGACATTATGAAATATTATGTAGTTATGTATATATGTATGCATGTCAATGTAATGACAATATATAATGTATATATATGTGTATTTATGTCAATATAATGCAATTTTATTCAGACTTAAGAAGAAAAGAAGATTCTGCTACAGGCCACAATATGAATAGGCCTGGTGTTGCAGGACGATCCACGGACAAAAACCCTCATGTGTCCATCCTCATCCACCCCAGTACATTGTTGCTCTCTTAAGGGTGTCTGCACCTGTGTTTGGGCTGCAGACAGGCCACCAAGGAGAGGGTTTCCTCAAGTGGGGCACTGCCCTTCTCATCTATTCTGGATGGCCTGGGGGTTCTGGGACTGGGTGGTCACTCTGATGCTTTGGGCTCTGGCCTTTCCTCTTCATAGTGGGGAGGGTCTAGCAGAACAAGAGGTGCTATGAGAATGGGTGCCATTTCCTCAGGCCAGTTACCTTTCAATTCCAGATCAACTGGAACCTTAGGCTTTTGCTTCCTGCAGCAAGTGGAATGCAAATCTCCTTTTCCTAAACTGTCCCTTCACTATAAGCACTGCTGTGGCCTGTCCTCTTAGCCACTGTGGGGGATTTAACACCAGCCGAAGCCAACTGTCTATATAGAGAAACTGGTGTGGATGCCCTGGCTTGCCTATAACCTGATACCATACTTTAGAAACCAAAGACCTGTCTAGACTCCCCTCTACTGGCCATCCTACCTCCAAAGCAGGCCAATCTATCTCACACACAGTACACAACCTCTCTAGGGTCACAGAGACTCCATAATAGCCACTATACCCCTTCGTGAAGTTCTTTAACATGGTCCACAACAGGGTGGGTTTTCTCTGTGTTTCCATTCTCTCTCCCTCAACAAAACATCACTCATGCCACAAAAAGGAAAAAGAAAACAGGGTCGACACTCGCTCCTCCTGTCACTGCCGTCCACTCCCTTCCCTCCCCCAGTGGGAGTCTTGGACCCTCTTGGCTTAGACAGGTTGGTACAACGCACCAACACGGTCTGCCACTTTGCCATACAAGGCATCCTATGGAACCGCAGCTCGAGGGGCACACTCACTTCGAGCAGTGAGAAGAAACCAGAGTCCTCACTTGGTGCCCCTCTCCATCTTGCCTTTCCTCTGGGATGCACTTTCACTTTCCTCCCTCCAACCAAGTCAGAAGCAGAAACAAGCTCAAGGTGCCAGAAATGGCTTGCAAGGAAACAAAATCAAAACCAAGGTACTGAGATCGGCACACACGAGGACAGAATCAAGATCAAGGTGCCAAGATTGGCACACTGTGGGTGATCAGGCCATGCTTCCACTCAGGTGGAGTGGGCTAGCTTCTAGGATTGACTCTACCATTTTCCAGTAGTCTGGACATCACCAAGTGTCAATTCCTTCCCGGTGTTCAGCTACTGCATTGATCACCACGGGGTCTGCCAGATCTCGCTCCAGGGATGTGGTCCACTGAGAAAGCGAAAGTGCCTTCTCAGAGGTGCCTTAAGGGCTCGTTGCCTGGGCCAGCCAGAGCCAAGCACAGGGATGCTCTGCAGCGAGGGCCAAAGCTGCCTAAGGGCTCTCCTGGTCATCTGCCAAAGCAAGTTTTGCTTCCTAGTCAGGGAACCAGAAATGCTGCAGGATGAGACACGGGAGTGGGGAAAGAAGAAACTTTATTTGTCCTTGGAGCATCGGCCAACTTGCATCCCAAAGGCCGAGCTCCCCGAAGAGCAAGCAGTTCCTTTCCGTTTTACGAGCTTACAACTTTAAAGGGGAAGCAGAGGTGAAACTGTGTCATTGCCTATTTGCCTGGCAACTGACCTTACAGTCTTTGGCTGTCATTGATTTGCTAATTTATATTTGGTGCACATGGGAACTGAAGAAGGGGAAGGCTGAACAAAGGCAGTGAATTACTTGGTGGCAGATGCAACTCTAAGGGGAGATCTGGATTGTGCAAACATGGAGTAAGTAATTCAGAGCAGGGCTCTGGGCAGCTGGAACAACACTCTTTGCAACATTTTCAAGGTTTATAGATAACATAGGCACCAGTTACAGAGGCACCAGTTACAGAGATGGGAGTTATTTTCCCAGCCTCTGGGCCCTACTGTGGTTGGGCCAGTGGCATCAGCAAGATGCCTGACCGCTGATTTCAACTTCTTGCTATTTTATCTCTCCTCCTCCCTTCTATCAAAAGGCAGGCAAGGGGAGAGAAATGGTCTCCTCTCTCACTGGAAGGCATTATGCTAAGAGAAATAAGCAAGATGCAGAAAGTAAATGTTACAAAAGCCCACATATATGTGGAATCTAAAGGAAAAAAATGACTTAAATATACAGAAACAGAGAACACACTAGTTGGGTACTATGGTTGGGGTAGCGGAGAAGGAGGCAATGGAATGGAGGTCAAAGGATACAGTGCAGCAGATAGAAAGAATGAACAATTCTAAATATCTAATGTACAACATATTATTTTATGGTTTTATCTCTTAGAATTAGGGACTCATAACAAATTTAGTTGATATCAAATAATAAAATAATCATATACATATTTAAGTCATAGATTGACATATTAAATTATTGACAAAATGATTGCTACACATTTAAATATCATATTCAATTTTTTAAATTACATATTGAACAACAGGTAGGTTTTTACAAAATAAGCAATCAGGAGTCAAATGAAATAGAACTGTGGAACTGGTAATTTTAATTTTACCAAAAACAATTAATGTTACATAAAGAAGGAACTGCTTTAAGAATGTCCACACACCCCCCATTTTTGAAAATTGTTGAATATATTCTCATTAATGATATCTTTAGCCTAGGTGGTATCAATATTTAGGCTTTAGCCAGAATATTACATTCAATAGGCCTCCAAAATTCAGCAAGAATATGGTATTGATAAATTAAAAATGTAGTAGTTTCTTATGTGTAAAAAACCGGGCATATATTTTAATTTCATTATCAAAAATACATTTATAATTGTAATTATCCTACATTGATTTCTGATAAATATCAAAACATCTGTAAATGTAGAAATATGAAAATAAAAAAAGGTTACCCTTCATTTTCCCAACATCAAACTCTTCATCCCGTAAGTAAGAATTTAATAATTTGATATATATCCCTCTGGACATTTTCAAAATGTTTAGGTTTGGATGTGTTTCTGTTCATAAATTTAGAAGATGCCAATAAAATAATACATGCTGTTAGGCAATTGGCTTTTTAAAAACAATTTTTTGTGGACATTTTTCATGTTGTTGATACATACCTTCTTCATTTCAATCCTTCTTCATTTCATATATGGTATAGTATAGCATTTTACACCATAATCATACCATTTCCTTTTTACTTTTGTATTACGATGAATGCTACAACCATTCATCCTCAAGTATATAATGCAGATTTGTCTATGGGACAGATTTTAAGAAGGATAATTTCTAGTGACACAGAGGATGTGCATTTAAATTCTCATGCATTAGAGTTCTCATGCAGGTAGGTAGGTTTGTTCAGCTTTTAAAAAATGTCTTTTTTTTCTGAGCCAATCTAATCCCATCTGCCTCCTATTTCTAGAAAAATTTATTAAAATTTTGTGCAAAAGATGATATAATTTTGTGATCTTGTTACCAAAACACCAAGAGTTTTGTTTAGGTCCTGTTACTCACTGCAGGAAAAGCCAGTCACTGAGAGGATGAGTATTGCCAAGGAAGAAGGCTTTAATCAGGTGCTGCAGCCTAGGATATAGGAGCTCAGTCTCTTTCTCTGACCAATAAAAAGTAGGAGCTTATATAGCAGGTAATATGGTTTGGCTCTGTGTCCCTACTCACATTTCATCTCAAATTGTAATCCCCACATGTCAGGGGAGTACCTGGTAGGAGGTGATTGGATCATGGCATTGGTTTTCCCCATGCTATTCTCATGATGGATTTCTCAGGATATCTAGTTGTTTGGTTAAGTGTGTGGCTTATACCCTTCTCCCTTTCTCTGCTGCTGCCTTGTGAAGAAGGCGCTTCCTTCTCCTTTTCCTTCTGCCATGATTCTAAGTTTCCTGCAGCATCCCCACATGGAACTGTAAGTAAATTAAACCTCTCTTGTGTATAAATTACCAATCCCCAGGTAGTTCTTTATAGCAATGTAAAAATTAGCTGATACAGCAAGGAAGAAAGGTAACAATGTATAAGAAAACAGGAACTAGGGAGGGGCAAGAGGGCAATCAAAATGAATAAGTGGTCCTGCATCTCACTGTCTGGATGTGGTGATCTGATGAATTTCAGTTCTTTGGTACTCTTTTTTAAGAGGACTGAAGGTCATTTTGATCGCAGCAAGAAGCAGACAAATTCCTAGGTAGATAGGGGTGGGTCCCTGGTGAAACCCACCTTCAGGCCAGAGACGCTTGAAGCCTGAAATCCAGGCTGTTAGTTCCAGGTGAAATTCACAACTGGAGTGAGAACTTCCTTGTTGCCCTTCGGCCAATCAGATGATGTTCTTTCCAGGCCCATCTATGGACCAATCAGCATTCATTTCCTCCATTCTGAGCCCATAGAAACCCCAGACTCAGCCATTCTCAGCCACATACTGGGACTACATTCCTACAAGTAGGAGAGCTAGCAGCTTCATGTCCCTTCTCTACTGAGAGTAGTTCTATTGCTACATAAAACTCTTCTCTGCCTTTTTCACCCTCCAGTTGTCCATGTAACCTCATTCTTCCTGGTCTTGAGACAACAATAAATTTTAAGAAGAAATCGTATTTCAGTATTCTTACACATATATACTTTACTTTTCTTGAGATTACATAGTCAAATAGCTTCATAATCGCAAGAAAATATAAGTAAACATATTATAAAGTTGAATGCATTTTGGCTTGAAATGTTATATTTTAATAGAAATATGTTTGTCACATTTTCAACTTATGCTTTTGACACCCTCACTATGAAGCAGATATGCAAATATAATAAAGTTGAGAAAATTTTAATGTAGGGTGCTTACAATGACAAAATTGCCCTTTTTGAGGTGATAAACTATTTGAAAGTTACAGTCACCAGATTAGTTGTGTAAATGTTATCTCTAACAGCATTTCACAGGAATGAAGTAGTCACAATAATCATAGCTAACTTTTATTGAGTGCTTCTTATGTGACAGTCACTATATATAGCACTATACACATATTATCACATGCCCCAAGCAAGCTTAGAAGGAAATTATTTCTTTCATGTTTTGCTACCTCCTCTCCCTGTTTTATGTATGAGAATATTGAGGTTAACTCAAGTAAACAGAATTATTGTGTTATGAGGCAAGCAGGGACCTTGATTTTGAATAATTCCATTATAAAGTGAAAGAGTTTGAAATAAGGAACAGTGGTGATTAACTGAATTTAGACAGAAAGGTAGGTAGGGCCAGATAAGGGGCTCATACGCCATGGTAAAAATGTCAGCTATCATTCTGTAGATGATCAAAAACTATTTTAGGGATATGAAAAATGGAGTTGTAGGATGAGATTTTAATGAACAAGACAAATTGAGTCCAAAATATTAAAAAGTGATAAGTTCTATGAAGAAAATAAAGCAGACAATAGTAGAGAGAGTGACAAATGGTGATGACATTGGGGAATGTAATTTGAATATTGTAGTTAAGAAGGAATCCTTTGAAGAGGTGACATTTTAGCAGCAGAGACTTTAATAATGAGAGACATTTGAGGTGAGAACTGAATATTGGAAAGGAATAAGTCATCCGAAAATTTGGTTCAGTGAAGTTGTAGGTCGAGGTCAAGGGCAAGGACAAGATCAAATATGCTGAGACTAAGAAAAGGATAGTGTACCTTAAGAACAAGCAGATGCCACATACATACAAAACAATGAAAGAGAGGAAATATAACATTATATGATGTCTGAGATGAAGGAGAAGATAGATCATGTATACGTTCTTGATGATACCCTCACAATATGGAGTTTGAATTTTATTCTAAAAATAAGAGTGGAAAACATAGGCGATAATGGTTTCTCAATGACTCCCCTTTCCTCAGCTATTAGGTGTATGATAAAGGTCATCAATCAGAAGTAACACAAGGGAAAACAGCAGATTGGGTCCGTGCTGAAATTTGCAGGTAAACAACAAAGAAAATGAGTTGTTTTGAATATATTGAGTTTTAAGTGCCATTGAGGCAATTAACTAGAAATCTCCTAAGGAGAAATTACATACTCTGTAGGTTTGTAACACAAGGAATGAAGTTTGAAATTTTGGAAATGTGAGCAAATACCCAAGGAATGAGATCTGAGGGTGAAACTTTCAGGAATCAAATTTTAAGTAGTATCAAGAGAAATGAAGAGTTAATTGTCAAAGAAGTAAAAAAAATCAGCTGGAGTGTGTAGAGTGAAGAAATACTGAAAACCAATACAATTAAAAAGAATATTAAAAGGCGTTAAGAGCTAAAGAAACTTTAAATAAGATAAGGCAAATATTATTTGCCAGTTTTGGTAATAGAGGATCAGGAGTGAGCTTAGATATTTTAAGAAGGTACAGACATTAATAATAATCTAAAATACCACTTCTTCAGAA